GTAGAATATTTAATCTTGAAAAACATTCTGCAAAAACATCGTTCTATCAAAGGCTAAGAATCTAGGAAATTGAAAATGACATGAAAGATATAAATGCTGGTAAATTACCGAAGACTATTGATTGTGAAATAAAGGATGATTTAATTGATTCTTGTATAAGCGGAGATATTGTAACAATCTGCGGTATAATGAAAACTGAACTTTAAAATGACATGAAGGTATAAATGATTGATAGTAATGTATTAGGGTTATGGAGGAGGTAAGGCAGCAAAGAATAAAGCATTACATGCTTCATATATTGATGTTAATTCAATTAGAAATTCGAATACAGACTATTTTATGTCCACTGCTGATCAATAGACTGATGCAAGCACAACTTTAATGATGAATGGGAACAAGGTAAATCTAGCTGAACTAAATGAAATCCATAGAATTTCTGAAAGAAAAGATATATTTTATCTACTGATCAAATCTCTTTGTCCCTCTATATATGGTCATGAATTAGTAAAGGCTGGTCTACTTTTAAGTATGTTTGGTGGCACAGATCATAGACTAAAGAATAAAGGAGAATTTTAAGATTTCATGTGTTAAGGGGACAAATAAAATGGACAGCAGGATGATGATGAGGGCTAGAAGCCTGGATCTAATGTTAGACCAGATATTCATATGCTCATGGTCGGTGATCCAGGTCTTGGTAAGTCCTAAATGTTGAAGCATATTATTAATGTTGCACCTCGAGGAGTGTATGTTTGTGGTAATTCAACAACTAATGCTGGTTTAACAGCAACTTTAATAAGAGACTAATTTACGAATGAATAAACATTAGAAGCTGGAGCTTTAGTTTTGAGCGATCTGGGTATATGCTGTATAGATGAGTTTGATAAAATGACTAGCGACTAAAACTCATTACTTGAAGCCATGGAATAATAAACTATTTCAATTGCAAAAGGAGGTATCTTAGGATCATTATCAGCAAGATGTAGTATTATTGCCTGTGCAAATCCTCATACTGGACATTATAAGTAAAATTTCATTCTAATTATCAATTTTTAGTCGAGCAAGGACAATCTTGGAGAATATTAGAGTATCTAATGCAATTCTATCTAGATTTGATTTGGTGTTTCTACTTTTGGATGATCCTGATTTATAAAGAGATAGAAAGCTAAGTGAGCATGTAATGAAATTACACTCAAGAAATAGGAAGAGAAAATATGAGATGTTTTAGACCGAGGTTGTAGAGCCGATCACTCCAGAAAAGCTTCAAAACTTGGATTAGGTTGTAAAGAGATTAAAATATACAGACTCAGCTGTGTCATCTTAAATGATGATAGACGATGAAGATGAAATTAAAGTTCTCTTTCAGTCATAAAACTCGACATAGCAGGAAGTTTAGTATGCCTCTTTGACATAAAAAATAAAGACATTAATTGAAAAAATTAAGGAATCAGAGCAAATTCCCCCAAATTTACTTAAGAAATATCTATCTTATGCTAAGCATACAGTATTTCCGAGATTATCTCTAGAAGCATGTGAAGTGATAAAAGATTTCTATATCTCACTAAGGTAAAACTCAATTAATAATGCTAATTCCTTGCCAATTACTTCAAGGTAGCTGGACTCACTTATTAGATTGAGTGAGGCCAGAGCAAAACTTGAGTTTAGAAGCATAGTAACAAGATAAGATGCAATGGAAGTAGTTAAGCTAGTCTAAGAGTCATTATTTGAAGCTTGCTACATGGATATGATGAATATAAATCGAAATCTCTAAAATAAATATGGAGAGTTAAATCCTAATGGAAATTAATAAATGAATATGGT